TGCTTCCACTTCTGCCTTTCTGCCTCTGAAGCTTTAAATCCCAGCACAGATTTTAATTCTTGGAGCACCCTCTTGGATTCTTCATGCTCACGTTTCTGTCTATCTTTATCTTCTTGAGACAAGTAATAAAAGTCATCCTTTCTGAAATCACTATCAATATCTATATCATCTACATAAGCTTCTAATTCCTGAAAATGAATACAAGAAAAAGCACTTTACTTGAAGCAGACAGTTTTCTAGTAAGCATTCATTTACTTGCACTTACTTATCTCTAAGATTTAAAAAAAAGGACTTGCATTTGGTACTGGTCATTAAAGCAGAGCTAGGGGAAAAAAAAGCAAACATAGCTACAGATAAATTGAAATCTTAAAAACAAAAACAAAAACAAAAAACCTAACAGAAGAGCATTGTGGATAAAAAAGTTTAACAACTTTAATGGTTATTTTCCTAATTTGATGCCTTACTATACACTTACTTAGTGTTACAGCCATTAGCTATATCAAAATCAATCAAAATTAGAAGGTCTGGCAGTTTGGGTAGGTGGTCAGGCATGTTTCTTTTCTTGTGGTTCTTTCTGATTTCCAGAAAGTATGAACACTCTTCCTAGGATTAGGGAATACCCCACCTTATGGTTCTCCCTATCTCTAAGACAGAGGGTAGGATACTTGCTTACCCAGCCTCTTTTACAGTATAGGCGCAGGTAAATGACCTGAGATCCTCTAATCAGACGTGCCTGCATCAGACCGGATTTAGAAGTTTCTGATACAAAAAGCAGGCACCTTGAAAAATCCATTCTGGCAGGATGTTGGCAGATATGTTTCTTGAGGTAGCACTTCTGGAAGTAATTTTTACTACTCAGCATTAATGGAGCCAAAGGCAATGTCTCCACCTATTAATTTAGCAATGATATCTCCATTGCAACAGTTCTTTTGAGTGATTTGGCTGTTTACCCTGGCCTCATTCAAGCCTGCGTATCTGGCCCTCTGAGATATTCTGTAAGCTACCTAAAAGTTTAAATAAAGTATCTGTCTGTTAAACTAACTAGGGTTGGTTTCAACTTGCAATTAAAAATACTGAATAGTAACTTGTTATGCAATATACATGAAAAAAAAATACCAAATAAATAATGACCTAAGGAAAAGAGGTTTTCCTTAGAATGAACAAAAGTTATCTTTGTTAATATCTAATATGACCATTTAAAAATTGTTTTTAAAAGTGAGGTATATCCAAAAAAAAAAAAAAGTGAGGTATATCATCGTATATGCAGTCAAGTGCACAGGATTTTTACATATGCACAGACATATTGGTAATTGCTACTCAGATCAAGATAAAAACATCTCCAGCATCCCAAAAGGTAGCTTTGCCAGTGTACTAATTTTCAATGTGTTCAATCACTTTTAAGTCACTCAGATATGGACAATTAGACATAAATAACAAATAATAAAATTAGATATAATAAATAATAAAAGTCTGCTGTCGGATTCAATGAATTCAGAGTTAAGCACTAAAAACTAATGGTCTGATATAAATTCAACACATTATATTTTGAAGCTCATTAGAAACAGAAATCCAACAAGGGAAAAAACAGTCATTTTCACCCTTACCTGCTCCTCAGGGATTGGATCTTTGTCTGCAATGTGTAGAGTAGGAGTAGGTTGCATCAAAGGTACTACTGAACAATGTGGGTTTTCACACACTATTTCGGGCTTGCCTTAAAAAAGAGTGAGTAGGAATAAAGATAAGAAACAGGCCACACAGACATGAGTGAACATCTAATTTAAAATATCTTTGGGGCCAGGCCTGGTGGCTCACACCTGTAATCCCAGCACTTCGGAAGGCTGAGGCGGGAGGACTGCTTGAGCCCAGGAGTTCAAGACCAGTCTGGAAACAAAGACAGACCCAAAAACTGAAAAAGAAATTAGCTGGGCATGATGGTGCACACCTGTAGTCCCAGCTATTTGGGAGGCTGAGATGGGAGGACTGCTTGAGCTGGAGAGGACAAGGCTACAGTGAGCAGTGATCATGTCACTGCACTCCAGCCTGGGCAACAGAGCTAGACCCTGTCTCCCCCAACCAAAAAATTCCTTGGTACCAATACTTTGTCAATTTCATAGTCCAACTTGTTCTAATAACTTTTTATTTATAAAAAATTAAAGATACTAAAATGAACAACAATAAATTAGATTTACAACTTAAAGTTTTTAAACTCTTGGAGGAGAGAGAACCTGGCCTTCTCTTTTCACCTGACCACAGCATCTGGTATATACCAGGTACTCTATAAATACTTGTTGAACAAAATATTATCATTCATAGCATAGGAACAGTCTTAAGACCAAGGTACTACAGTAGCTGGTACACACCAGGTACTCTCTAAATACCTGTCAAACAAAATATTATCATTCATAGTATAGAAACAGTCTTAAGACAGACCATCACTCTTCTTCACAAAATACAAACTTCAATCTTACCCTGAGGCTATTTTAACTTTCAGAAGTTGGAATTGGAAATGAGTTCACAAGTAAACATCTTTAAAAGACCACCCTAGTGAGTTTAACTTTGATTAATTCTTAAAATTTGTGTTTGGTATTTAATGACAGGGTTACTTAGTCTAATATCCAGCTGGCAACCATTCATCATTATCTTTCTACTTGAAAAAAAAAACAAGTATGGTTTAAACTTCCTGATTTTTACTTTTCAAAAGTAACAATAGATAAATGGTGGGAAAAAGAAAAAGAAATATTTGGGAAATGTTATAAAAAGATGACTGGTCAGTTTGTAGGCAAGATGTCAGAATGATGAATAAATTAATAGAAAGCACTAATGAGAGACAGATTAGTATGGTGGCTAAGAGCTGTAGAGTTAGTAACAACTGGTTTAAATCCTAGCTCCTGCTGCTTTCTAGCTTAAATTAGTTATCTGTAGAACAGTGGTGAAAATAACAATACTCTTTTTTAAGATTAAAAAATACATTAAAATGCTTAAAACAATGCCTGCTACAGATTAAATGCTCAAAAACTGCAATTATTGCTTAACTAGAAGAACACAGATTTCATGACATTAATGCTGACACCATACATTGAGCTCTTCGAATGAAAAGAAAAGAAAAACAAATCCATAAGACTACTGTTAATAGCAGTAAACAGGTACATTAAACAGGGTGCTGGTAATCCAGCTCTCAAACAAAACAAAACACCCATTTGCAGCACTTCCTGATTTCCAGTTCCCATGGTGTAAATGCACCCACTGTGATCAATTTTAAGCTACCAATGATGTTAAACTGACTCACAAATTTCTGAATATTTAACAATCTCTGGAGAGCCAGCTCCAGCATGTAACTCATTTAACAAAAATCTAATGAGAGGCCAGGTGTGGTGGCTCAAGCCTGTAATACCAGCACTTTGGGAGGCCAAGATGGGCTGATCACTTGAGGTTAGGAGTTGGAGACCAGCCTGGCCAACATGGCGAAAACTCGTCTCTACCAAAAAACACAAAAACTAGCTGGGCATGGTGGTGCACAGCTGTAATTCCAGCTATTGGAGAGCTGAGACAGGAGGATCATTTGAACCCAGAAGCGGGAGTTTGCAGTAAGCTGAAATCGGGCCAATGCACTCCACACTCCAGCCTGTGCAACACAGAGAGACTCTTTCTCAAAAAAAAAAAAAAAAAAAAAAAGAAAAGCCTTAAAAAATTTTAAAAACCCACCAAATTTTTAACTACATGCTTCCAGTAATAGCTTTTACAAAGAGCACAGGTTATAAAGTGAAAACAGCTCCCTGATGACCTTATCCCTCAATTCTTTCTGAAAGCAGGGGCCTGCCAAATCTGCCCCACTGCCTGTTCTTGTAAATAAATTTTATACTAGAACACAGCCACACTCATTTAAGTATAGTCTATGAGTGCTTTCATACTACAACAACTAGTAAAGTAGTTGTAACAGATACCATACAGCCTGCAAAGCAGAAAATCTTTAGGAAAAAAAAAAAAAAATTGCAGACCCTTGCCCCGGGGCAATGTTTCTAAAATTTCTCAAACTTTAACATGGATACAAATGACCAGATCTTATTAAAATACAGGTAGATATAAAGTCAGGGGTCCATTTGTAACAAACTCTCATGTGATGCTTATATGCTAGTCTGGGGACTACTCTGGGTAACAAGGCCCTAGAGGTAATAAATATAAAGAGTTTTAAAATAACGTGACACACACACATACACGAGTGCACACACATATATTTTTGAGACAGGGTCTCATTGTGTCACTCAGCCTGGAGTGCAGTTGTGCAGTCATGGGTCACTGCAGACTTGACTTCCTGGGCTCAAACAATCCTTCCACCTCAGCCTCCTGAGTAGCTGGGACTACAAACATAAGCCAACGTGCTCAGGTAATTTTTTGTTGTCGTTGTACAGATGAGGTTTTGCCATGTTGCCCAGGCTGGTCTTAAACTCCTGGGCTCAAGTGATCCTCCCTCCTTGGCCTCCCAAAGTGCTGAGATTATGGGCATGAACCGCCGTACCTGGCCTGTGATATTTCTAATAATGGAAAACTTATTAACTGGAGATTCTTTTCTATGGCAATCTCAAGTAATGCCAAATTATTCTCAATGATTTCCTAAGCTTACGACAATATATATATATAGATATACATGTGTCTATATATGTATGTGTATTACATACATATATATTTATATAAAATCTATATAAGCTGAGTGCAGTGGCACACACCTATAATCCCAGCACTTTGGGAGGCCAAGGTAGACGGATCATGAAGTCAAGAGATTGAGACCAACCTAGCCAACATGGTGAAATCCCGTCTCTATTAAAAATATAAAAATTAGTGGGGCATGGTGGTGCGTGCCTGTAATCCCAGCTACTTGGGAGGTTGAGGCAGGAGAATCGCTTGAACCTGGGAGGCAGAGTTTGCAGTGAGCCGAGATTGTACCACTACATTCCAGCCTGGCGACAGAGTGACACTCCATGTCAAAAAAAAAAAAAAATTCTATATAAAATATGGAATGATTCATGAATTTGCATGTCATCCTTACACAAAGGACATGTTAATTTTCTATCAGTCTCATTTTAATACATGAGCTGCCAAAGCCAAGCACCCTAATCTTGATTTCTAAATGCCATTCTCCATTAAAAGGTTTTACAAGCCATTCCTCCCTCCATCTCCAATTCCTTGCAACTACCCATCTGTTTTCTGTTCCTTTGCCAACTTCAGCATGCCTCATAAGTGGAATAACATAGTATGTAGTAGTTTGAATCTGACATCTCTCACTTGGCATAATGTATCAGAGATTCATTCATCGTTTTGGATGCAATGGAACTTTACTTTCTTTTGTTGCTGAGTAGTATTTCATTGTACGGATGGATGTAACAGTTTAGTAACATCCCAAAGTCTAGCTGCTTCTAGATTTTAGTTTATGAACAAAATATTGATGTATGGGCTTTTGTGTGAACACTAAATTTTTATATTTCTTGGTTAAATACATAGGAATGATACTACTGGATCATATGGTATATGTATTCATAGTGGTTAAAATTTTGATGAAGAAAGCATATTTATAGAACCTCAGAGTACTTCTTTACAAAATATTTATCATGAAAGAATTTAAGGAAAAGGCAAAGGAGAATAAAGAGTATGACAACTGAATATCATGCACAGTCTAGGTCTAGACATATTAAAAATATTGGGACAATCAGGGAAATTTGAATGGGTTCTGTGGATAAAATGACAATACTGTGGTTGGTGTTCATTTTCTGATTTTGATGGTATACTGTGGGTTTATAGAAGAATGTTCCTGTTTTACAAAAATGCATACAGAAATATTTACTGGTAATGGGGCTTCAAGTCTACAACTTACTCTCAAATGGGTAAGAGTAACATCACCATCAAAAAATTATACACACATACAGACACATACATAGAAAGATAAGGGAATTGTGGCAGAATGTCAACAACTAGGGAATATGGATGAAGGATACTTTCAACTATTGTAACTTTTTTGTAAGTTTGAAATGATTTCAAAATAAGACCTTTTTTAAAAAAGATAATGGCTAAACAGACTAAAGTACCTGCTTCTTAAAATATTCAAATGAACATTTTTTATTTAAACCTGTGTAGTCATAGCCACTGTAAATGTTTTAGTGAGAAAAGTTTGTGAACTTTTGTGTCTTAATACATATCATTATTATTTATGAGCAAAAGCCATACACACAGAAAATAATTAGAAAATAGCTTATCTTAATTACCTACCCAATGAGGTGGAGACAGTTTTCAGAGTAATGGTTCACAATAATGGATAAGTGATAGACTAAGATTCAACATCTCAGAGTGTGGTAAAGGAGGGGTGAATGGGATGCATCTTTCTTTTTTTTTGAGAGACAGTGTCTCACTCTGTTGCCACTGCGGCAGTGGCTCGATCATAGCTCACTGCAGCCTCAAACTCCTGGGCTTAAGCAATCCTCCTGCCTCAGTCTCCTGAGTAGCTAAGCACTCGGCTACTCCTGTCACTGGGCCTCGCCAGGATATATCTTTTAACAACCAAAGGTCTTCTGAGTATTTCTATTTGTAGAAAATGTACACAAAAGCTCTAGATGTCATGTCAGAAAGTTTAATGTGCATAAGTATTTGCAAATATTAGAATTTTGTGGTAGATTTATCTTTTGGAGAAAAAAATATTTACAGTTTACATTTGGGATATTAAGAAAACCTATGGGTAGTATATAAGTAATTCACATGTTCATATTTCCTTTGGAGAAAGTGAATGCTTTTAATATCTAAGGATTTGTTCAAGCTTGTTTAAGACATTAAAGAAATTATGGCAAATTTAGCTGTAAACAACAACAACAAAAAAAACAGGATGGTAAAGCATTAATTATCTTTAGCAGCAATGCAAATTCTATGCCTAAGTCTGAGTAACATAATAATAAAGATCCAAAATATAAATATGGTACTGGTTTGCAGCATAATTTTCAAAATTTGATATGCCCAACATGAAAAATGAAATTAGTGAGGTAAAAACAAGCATAAAATCTGAGTCAATAAAAGCAGTTTGATGGAAAATCTCAAGACTATTTTGTTTTACTAGTAGCACAAAGCAATCTGATACTTTGTCATTAAATAATGACACAATGTATTTAGATTTTAGTACTAAATATGCAGTGTCACTAATTATATCATTTGTATATTATTTTTGAATGAAAGTATTTTATTTTAAAAGAAAAACTGAAGTTTCTAGCCCCAGACTACCAAACTAATTCTTTTATTATCCTAACTGAAAAAGAATTTTTAGTTCTAATAATAGAAAAATACTATCAAAATTTATTCTCTCATTTCAGCTTTTTTCAAAAAGAGATGATTCACTGAACTTTCAAATCATATTCATTTTCTATTTACAAAATGAGAGCCAATAATTATATTCAGTGTCACTTTGTACATATAAATTCAACAGTAAAAAAAAGTAAACTAAGAAATTTTGAAGCTAATTTCATCATGAAGGCAAGAAATCTGCCTAATAAAATCCTACCAGAGTGGAATAAGCATATGCCAAAGAAATCTCTCACAGGTACCTTTTTTATCTGTATTTCTTCGTAGCAGTTTGTCGACCTGAGAAATGGCCTCTTCCCAGCAATTGTTGCTTGCTTGAACATGGGGCTGAATCAACTTTAATTTCTGTTCTAGGATGTGATAAGCCTCTGACACTAGTTCCTGTGTTTCTTTAGTACAAACAAGCTTTTCAAGTTCATCTTCAAGAATTATTACCCTGAGTCACAAAGAAAAACAGAAACAGGTTTTTATAAAATGAAATAAAAAGTTTACAATTTATAAGGCTTATTTTAAAATACGTTTAAATCCTAGCACTTTGGAAGGCCAAGGTGGATGGCTTGAGCTCAGGAGTTCAAAACCAGCTTGGGCAACATGGTGGAACTCTGTCTCCACCAAAAATACAAAAATTAGCCAGGCATGGTAGCATGTTCCTGAGGCTGAGGTGGGAGGATTGACTGAGCCTGAGAGGTAGTGGTTGCAGTGAGCTGCAATAGCACCACTGCACTCCAGCTTGGGGGACAGAGTGAAACCCTATTTCAATTAAAAAAAAAAAAAAAAAGCTTATAAGATGAAAAACATTCTGGAGTTAGACAGTGGTAATGGCTGCACAACAATGTGTATATACTTAATGTCACTGAACTGTACATTTAAAAATGATTAAATGATAAATTTTGTTATATATACTTTACCACAATTTTTTAAAAAGCTTATGAGTAGGCCGGGCACGGTGGCTCAAGCCTGTAATCCCAGCACTTTGGGAGGCTGAGGCGGGTGGATCACGAGGTCAAGAGATCGAGACCATCCTGGTCAACATGGTGAAACCCCGTCTCTACTACAAATACAAAAAAAATTAGCTGGGCATGATGGCTCGTGCCTGTAATCCCAGCTACTCAGGAGGCTGAGGCAGGAGAATTGCCTGAGCCCAGGAGGCGGAGGTTGTGGTGAGCCGAGATCGCGCCATTGCACTCCAGCCTGGGTAACAAGAGCGAAACTCTGTCTCAAAAAAAAAAAAAAAAAAAAGCTTATGAGTATGATATATTTATTCAAAAATATTTATTGCATATATACTAGGCATTTTGAGCTTAAAAATAAATTAAGCCAGTCTTCTACTTATAAGAAATAACAAGTGATATTACACATATATGTAAATAAAATATATCGACCCCCACTCCCTACTCTACCCACCACCTACTGAGCCTGCCAACAACAGCCTAGAGTGCAACTCCTTGGAGCCCTCCCCCCTTGGGTGTGGCTCGAGCTGGTGACACTAAAGACTGGAGACACCACAGACCCACGACCCGGAGCAGCTTGGAGGCAGGGAATAATAGCTCTTCAGGTCTGCAATAAAAAATGGCCTCCAATAAAACTACATTGCAAAAAATGGGAAAGAAACAAAATGGAAAGGTAAAAAAGTTGAAGAGCTAGAGTCTGAAGAATTTGTGGTGGAAAATGTACTAGATTGACATGTAGGGAATGAGAAAATGGAGTATTTCCTGAAGTGCAAGGGATTTACAGATGCTGACAATACTTGGGAACCTGAAGAAATTTAGATTGTCCAGAGTTAATTGAAGCATTTCTTAGTTCTCAAAAAACTGGTAAAGAAAAAGATGGTACAAAAAGAAAACCTTTATCTGACAATGAATCTGATGACAGAAAATCAAAGAAGAAAAGAGATGGGGCTGACAAATCAAGAGGGATTTGCTAGAGGTCTTGATCTTGAAAGAATAATTGGTGTCACAGATGGCAGTGAAGAATTGATGTTTCTCATCTAATGGGATGATTCAGATGAGGCGGACTTGGTGCTGGCAAAAGAGGCAAATATGAAGTGTCCTCAAATTGTAATTGCTTTTTTTATGAAGAAAGACTAACTTGGCACTTTTGTCCAGAAGATGAAGCTCAATTACTGTTAACATTGTGTGTTTGTGTGTGTGTGTGTGTGTGTGTATGTACACACACATACATAAATATGGATGCATGTATGTATATATATATAAAATTTGTGGTAGGGCGCGGTGGCTCACACCTGTAATCTCAGCATTTTGGGAGGCCAAGGTGGGTGGATCACCTGAGGTCAGGAGTTTGAGACTAGCCTGGCCAAAATGGTGAAATCCTGTCTCTACAAAAATACAAAAATTAGCTGGGTATAGTGGCATGTGCCTGCAATCCCAGCTACTCAGGAGGCTGAGGCAGGAGAACTGCTTGAACCTGGGAGACAGAGGTTGCAGGGAGCCAAGATTGTGCCACTGCACTCCAGCCTGGGCAACAGAGAGAGTGTAAAACTCCGTCTCAAATGAAAGGCGGGAGGGCGGGGGGGTGTTTCTTGGATTTTTTACTTACTAGTGTGACAAAATAACTACATTCTAATGAAAATCAAGTTTTTTTGGTTTTTTTTGTTGTTGTTGTTTTGTTTTGTTTTTGTATTTTTTAGTAGAGACGGGGTTTCACCATGTTGACCAGGATGGTCTCGATCTCTTGACCTCGTGATCCACTCTCCTCGGCCTCCCAAAGTGCTGGGATTACAGGCTTGAGCCACCGCGCCTGGCTGAAAATCAAGTT